CACCACCACCACCATCACCACCACCATTCTTATCTCAGGGTCTGGATGACCGGGCCCCCCTTATCTAAAGGTCTGGATCCGCCACTGTATAATTGGTCTTTTCTTTGAGACATTTTATTATAATAATAATAATAATAATAATAATAATAATAATAATAATAATAATAATAATAATAATAATAATAATAGTATTTAAAGCATTTCATATCTTTGTCTCAATGGTCTTACAGTGAGCTTAAGCCGGAAAGCAACAAAAGAAAAATGCCGAGGAAAGTAAAACGAATAATTGAAAATTTAAAGTACAAAGAATAAATCTCTAGAGAAACAAAGAAAGCCTAAAATTTGGTCGGGGGAAAACCATTCGATCAATTCATACTTGTAAATGCACTAGTCTTGTAAATACTTAATGAGGCAGGCACGTATGTTTTCACAACAACGGAAACTGCACTTTGCTATTTGCAAATAGAATAAAATGGAATGCCAAAAAAGATCGATCTGTATTTGACTACCTACACTTTGTTCTATTCAACAGCCAGTTTATTGTTTCCAAGGAAGACAAACTAACTTTACGGAAAGTTTTCTATAATGGATCCCCGTTTGTGCAGGTGGCACAAGTGTGTAAAGTATTTCAGGTCTTTTTATATTCATCTTGTTTTCGAACATTTGATTTCAAAAGAAGCTCTTTCAAGATAATCGTGGCTTCTCTTGTCCTTTCTCCCTTCCTTGTTTTGTTTTGCTTTGTTCCCAGGTTTTTTACCTGTCAACAAAGGATTTGCATCGCGAATATGCAATTTTTTTTGCTCTCAACGATGATCAAAACGTGGACACACATTCCGTTCAACAAACATTACCATTCGACTACATTTGATCAACTGATTAGACTAATTCGCGATCCATTAAGCTTGCTATTCATCGATAATATAGTTGTGATTCTTCTTATTTTGTTTACATTTTTTTGTCATTATTTTTCGATCACGTATATGAGAGGATCCGCACGTCTTATGCATACAGCTTTAACAAACTTTGCCAGGTGATCTATCTCAAGGCTTTAAAATGTTACAAAGAGACTGGGAAGGTCATAAAAGTCCAAAACGGAAGTCTCTTCAAGAGAAGAACCCAAGTGATGATTTCTCTCTTTTTGCTGGCTTTATTTGGCCTCGTGCCCTCCTTTTCTGAAGGTTAGTGATAAAACACTATTAAGTTAAACCGTTGTACTGTCTCCCTCATAGCTTTGTCGACTAGTTGTTATCGGAATGTTCCGATTGTAACTACTCTAACCGAATCTTGTAGTTCTTGTTTTTTTTAAAAAAATAACTGCCAGCAGTCAAAATTGCCAGGGAAAAAGCGCAACTAAATTGGCAATTAATTGATCTGATTGATTGGTATTGAAAGCATTCTCACTTAACAGCATTAATTGGGTAAAAAGTACATATAGTGTGGAAGCTCTTGTGAGCGGACACCCTCGCCAGGGACGGCAAAAAGGTGTCCGTAAGCGGAACTGGTTACTTACGGGAATGTTAAAAAAAATCAGTTTGTATGGGAGTTGAGAAAAAAGGGGTGACCATAAGTAGAGCTGTTTTCTTACGAGAGTGTCCGTTGAGACGAGTTTCAACTGTAGTTAGTGATGGATTTCATGGTACTTTGATGTTTCTAGTTTAAGTTGACGAAAAAAGAAAAGAAAAGAAACTTGGAAAAGCTTGCCTGGTATAAAAGAAACTTAACGAAACATTTTTCCCCAGTTGCGTTTTGTCAATAGGAAGTTATTTGATTTATCGCAACAACCAACGTTCCCTGTAGGATGTGGCAAGCGTCCAGCACTCTCCCGAGTGGTGAATGGCCAGAACGCCAGCCCTCACTCCTGGCCATGGCAGATTTCTCTTCGTGTGAGTGGAAGACATATTTGTGGCGGATCCCTGATCAGAGCTGACTGGATCGTAACTGCGGCACATTGTGTTTATAGCAACCCAAACCCAAGTCGATACACTGTTGTAGTAGGTACGTTACAATATAGAAACTGACTAGTTTGAGTTTATTGAGAGAAATCACCGCATTTACTACAGTGACTAAGAAGGCTATGCAATCTAAAAACTCTTGTCCTTTCTTAGCGATACACTCCCGGGCCATTCAAGGGAAATTTGAGTAGGGATGTGCCGCCGAGGCCTTAAAAGCCTTACCTTGTCGGGTTAAGACAAAAATCATTCATTTGACTATTTAAGAGAAGAGACCTTATTTCACGACCTTGACCCATATCGTTTCGCATACGGAAATGAAGTAATTATAAAACTAGCATCATAGAATACTCAGATCTTTCTTAGAAGAGATAGTTCATACCACTCAAGTAGACCGTTCATCGCCAACCTTCAGATTATTTTCCAGGCTTTCGATCCAAAAACACACCCTGTCCAAGACGTCAAATAGTGAAATTGTCAGAGATTGTACGTATGACCTATTCAAGACTCAAGACCCCCAAAAAACCATACCCTGTTCAACGGCACGTGCATACCCCTCTAGGTCTCACAAGGGAGTGCCCCCCTGTATCGTTTGTACCACTTCAATGAAATTCTAGATAAATTATAAAAACCAATCAGTCAATAGAGCCATTGGCTCCTGCGAACTACAACGGTCAGTGTCGCGCGAAAGGTAAGTACTTTTAAAACATCCTCAGGTACCTCCATCAGGGACTTGTAACTCAACTGGCAAGCTTTGAAACATAGTGCAACTTTTACAATTTTGAATTATTCCCTACTTACTTGAACTTTTCTTTAATTTTTCAAGTGCGTACAATGATACCACTATCCTGCAAATAGTAGTCCGATCCTGTCATTATTTCAGAGGCTCAGCCGGGGAATAGTAGTATACCATCACTGTACCATAACACCCGAATTAATTATTAGCCATTTTCCCAAAATTCCCAATGTTTTTCTCAAAGTTAATCTATTCCTAAAGAAAACGTAGTGCTGGGTATTGTTTAAGACTGTTTTAGGAAAGCTAAGCCGCTCACTTTTATAACATCACAGGCGGCCACAGACGAACTGGAACCACTTCTGTACAACAAACACTTAGAGTGAAAACTCTTCATAAACACGAGGAATTCACCTTGCGGAATCTCAAAAATGATGTGGCAGTTCTTCAGTTGGAGCGACCCGTGAAACTGAGTGACAAAGTAAATACTATTTGTCTCCCAAACAAGAAGGCAAACTTGAAAGCCAAATGTTACATAACAGGTAGGGTTTGAATTTCACGCGCTTTAGGATGCCGTAAAACGTAGCCAATCACCTGCGCAACATTATGCTTTTGTTTCCCCACTAAAATGCTCCACCTTAATTCCCTGGGGATGAGGTTGTCTATCATCACTTCCCTTCCCCAGTGAAGTTTTGCGAGATAGACGTCTGCATTTTGGTTTAAAAAAATGCCATTGTACTGATAGACAAATCGGAGACGTTATAGATCATAGAAATGACTTCAACCCATGTTAATAGAACCAGGAGCCGCATGGTCAAAGCATTTTTCCCAATTTTATATCACCGCCTAAAAGTCGAAGAAGTCCTCGTGGTACTATTACGTTAGTAGATAAGTAATAGCACCAAACTTAACGTCAGAGGTATAAGCGATCACTTCTAGTCGTCTTTGATAAGTAGACTGGTACTTCATAGGCTTGACATCCGAGTGAAAGGCTTTCTTTTTCTGAAAAAAAAAACCGGTATATTTCTTATATTTCGCTACATTTACTCTATTTATTTAATATTTATTCATTTATCTATTTATCTTTTTTTATTTTTGGCGAGTAAATCTCCATTTCTCATACAACCTCACGCTTCAGAACGTTTATAGTCTACAGGGTGTTTCAAAAGTTCGTTCCGATTTTTTATTCGCTTAAATTTCACTGATTATTAACAAAACCCTTTTGTAAAACTTAGAATTTTATTCATTATTTATTTAACATTGAATAACTAAAATATTAGTAACCAGAATGTATTTATGTATGTTTTCTGACATTTTCTAAGCGGTGAGGTATAGAATGTACGAGCTCCCAAGGCGTGTCCAAAGTCACATTCTTCCAGGCGAAGCGTTGTCACTGTCTAAGCTCGTCCAGTGTTTTGGGCGCTGGATCTTTGTATTTTGTCTCGTCTACGATAATCCAGATGGTCTCAAGGGGGTTCACATCACATGAGTTTGCCGGCCGGTCCTCCTTTGGTATAAAGTTGGCAAATCCTTCTGACACCATGCTTGCATGAAGTGTGCACGGCCTTTTCCTCTTCAAGGCTTTCCAAGTTTTTTGGTAACTCATCCCCATACCAATGTGCTCGAAACTTTGATCGATAATGTGAAGTTGAAATTTTTTTACCTTTCTGTTTTGTGGAATTTTATTAAGCATATACTTACAGCTTTTTCGATAATATTTCTCGCACAGTTTGTGAAACAACGGCCATGCACTCCTTGGTTTGTCTTCTAAGGTCTTTACTTTTGACCACTTGTTCGGTCGTCGTTCAGACTTCTACAACAATTTGACAATTTTTTTTGACTGAATGGCCAGAAGACCATAAAAATAGATGCCTGAGCTCTAGCACAAACAGTGTAGGCCTTCATTTTCATGAAGGAGTAAAGAAAATGAAAGAAAACGATAAAAATACTAAAATAGAAAACCTACAAAATGGGCAGGAAAAGTATGGCGGGAAAAACCTCGCGTACGTGTACAGTTGGGGCAAAAATTAAAAAAAAATTATAATTTCTTCAAATTTTAGTTTGAAATTACTTTTAACGGTTATTTAGATAAATTTCTTACCTGAGTCAGTTTACATTTGCCTAAAGAAGCACTCAATGCTTTGCGCAAAATACAATTTACAATCGGAACGAACTTCTGAAACACCCTGTACCCTTTGTAAACATCGTGGTCTGAATAGCATGTTATTATATCGCTCTGGCCCCAGTTGTTCAAACGTTGGATAGCGCTATCCACCGAATAAATCACTATCCAACAGGGCCCGGTCCCTGAGAGGCTGACTATCGCTAATCCAGGATTAAAATTTTGTTCTTTTTTTGTATTTTACCTTCCTATGTATTGCTTGAAGTAATCAATTTAGGTTTCTGGGAAATTGTCCACCTACCCCTCCCCTAAGCCAACATTATCCGTTTTTCTCACTTGGAGCAAAATGTTGGCTTAGGGGAGGGGTAGGTCGTCAGTTTCCCAGAAACCTAAATTCATCAGCTTAAAGTAACATTTCGTGTTATCATTAGTGTTTCTGTAGGCTCAAAGCTGCTCAACAGTGTTTTGTAAATTTGAGTTGCATGCTGTTAGGCAAGAAAACCTTGCTTATAATTGGCTTAATCCTGGGCCTGTCTACATGGTGGTGGGGAACCCCAGGTAGGTGAGGTAGCCAGCTTAGGTGGGGTAACCCGGCTGTCCATATAATCTCTCATTTTAATCTGATCAAGTTTACATGATGGGTGGGGTGACCCGCCGCATGTTACCTCACCTATCTGGGGTCCCCCACCTCCATGTAAACAGGCTCTTAACCATCTTTCGAGGAACCGGGGCCAGATAAGTACAATACATGTATTAGGAAAACCAATTGTACTATTCACTGGATAGAGATTTACCCAGTGGATAGCGCTGTCCATTTTTTGAACAATTCGTCGCCCAGAATGCTGCGACACATCCGGGACGTTCTTACGGTCCAGGGCGCCATATTTCAAAAGCTTCCTTCTGACAAAGACGCCAAAATACAAAGAGAGTGGGAAGAAATGGCGAAACAAGGTGTAGGTTTTACTCCATCACAAAAACCTAAGTGCTTTGGTGGTTAAGTTTACCCAGACGTTTTCAGAAGAGGTGTCGAGGATTTAGTTAAGACTATTTTCATTTTCCTGGAACTTGTAAGTATCCATATATGCACTTAACGTTTGCTCACTTGTAGGGTGGGGTCGTATTTCTGGCGGAGGACCAGCAGCAAATATCCTGCAGCAAGCCAAGCTACCCCTGGTCTCCCATACTGACTGTAGAAAGAAGTATGGCTCATTAGTGGATCCCCGTGCTCATTTGTGCGCTGGCGAGGGACGCGCAGCTGCCTCAGGTGGATGTAATGGGGACAGTGGTGGACCACTGGCTTGTGAGATGGGAGGAAAGTGGTATCTCCATGGAGCTGTCAGTTTTGGCAGGCGAAACTGTCCTACTACTCACTTCACCGTGTTTGCCAGGATAACCAGCTACAAATCATGGATTCTGAAAAAAATAGGTAATTAAGTACTTTCACGGCTATGAGCTTTCTTTAGTAGTAACGGGGAAATTTCGCGATCGTTCAAAAACTCTCTATTTTTAAAGCTTACTTACAATAGTTAAGATAATGCATCAGTCATCCCCCAACCTCCCCCCCCCCCCCCCCCCCCCCCCCCCCCCCCC